TTGTATTAATTTTGCGTTTTTGTTGTTGCTGTTTTTGTTTTGCATGCTTTGAGATGTGCAACGTTTCCCTGTTTGCATTGTGCTTTTGTGTGATGGAACTGAATAAAGGGAAGAAAAAAAAAATTCTAGTAGAATTATATTTAGACTGACTTTATATTATGTGTTTTAATATAAATCATACTATGTACTGACATTTCAAATATAATTATGATACAATGCACTTATTGTCTACATGCATGTTTTTACATTGTGTTTATAATTGAAAAATGCCTGCAGTAACTCCATCTGCATTTAAAGGGGTCATATGATGCGATTTCAATTTTTCCTTTCTCTTTGGAGTGTTACAAGCTCTTGGTGCATAAAGAAGATCTGTAAAGTTGCAAAGACTAAAGTCTCAAATTCAAAGAGATATTCTTTATAAAAGTTAAGAGTCAACCACGCCTACCTAAAACGGCTCGTTCTAACACACCTTCTACGCCTTCTACGAACATATCTACGTCACGATGTGGGAAGATTTGCATAACACCGCCCAAATGTTCACGCAAAGAAAGAAGGCGTAACTTTTATTCTCGCTGTAGTATTGTTGTTGCCGCCGCTGCCATGTCGTGAAGGCTCTTCGTGTTTCGTTGTGAAAGCGAAACTACTTTGTTTGGTCTTCCAAAAGAGGACGATATCCGGCTTTCACCGTCAACGCACTGGATAGCTGGCCAATCACAGCACACCTCGCTTTTTCAGACCGATGAGCTTTGTAAAAATCGACGCGTTTCAAAAAGGCGGGGCATAGAAGAGAAACAATAATGTACAGTATGTGGAAAATAATGTGTTTTTTGAACCTTAAACCACATAAACACATTTCATTACACCAAATACACAAAATAATGTTCTTTTTAGCAACATCATATGACCCCTTTAATTTCTGTAATATTTAATATGTTTTCTTTTAACTTTTATTTGGTTAAAGACACTATGTATTGCTATGTACAAGTGTGACCATAAATTTGAACTAAAAACTACACCATTTAGACTTCTTCATGTCTTTCCCACAATTTTATTAATTTCCACTGTAGAATCCTAATAGTTCCAGGATTTCCTTGATCTTGGAAAGCCTGCTATTATTATTTGTAAGCACGTGTCAAGTCACTGTAAAGCACATTATGAATAGGAAATCATAAATGTCTCATACACAATGTATTCACTGTCATGTAGTGTGACAGATTACTGACTGCTCTGTTCCTCCAGCCTCATTATTCCTGTTCAAATCTATCCATAACAATAATCGTGCTCGACTAAAGTCAGGGTCATTACTGCCAAAACACTCATAACACTGAATGCACCGGAATATAAACAGTAGTGCGAGCTCATCCAAACAATGCAAAAACAAAAGAGGAAGTTAAGCAGCTGCTTACGTTGTTCTGTTCTGTAGGGAAAGCTCCAATCCCAACTCTCGTGGTGTAGGCTTTGACAACTCCATAGACTTCACCCACGTTCTGGGGCGGCATGCCCAGACCCGTACACACCCCTCCCACGGTGCAGTTTGAGGAAGTCACGAACGGATATGTCCCTAAACAAAAGCGTCAGATCAGCGCTGCGTGCCAGTGAAGTGTTAGTGAAGCTTTAGGCAATGTCAGGGTTATTTTCATGACTGTATGTACAATAATAGACCTTTGCGTCTGTCAACGCCTATATTTAATTGTAAAAAGTTAGAGGCACACAACACTGCTTAAAATCAAATGACAAATGATTTTTTACATAGTGAAAAATAAATTAAATCAAAGTTAAACCTATTATAATAAAAAAAATCAAATGATAAAAATAATATATTAAGAAAATGTAAATACAATTAATTAAACAAATAGATTTTAAAAGTGACTGAAGTGTTAGTAAAGCTGTAGAGAATGTAATGACACTGTTCTTTTTATTATGTAGAGTAATAAGCATCTACATCTATCAATGTCAAATTTTTTTTTAAGTACACACAATACATACTGTAAATCATTCAACCATAAAAATAGTAGGAACTATAATATTTTAAAATAATGGATAAATAAATAAAAAAATCATAACATGAAATCAAATAAAATGTGTGAGACTGTATTATTGACTTGTAGACTTATTATTGTCGATAGTTCACAGGACTTAACTAATATGGGAGGACCTTCCCAGAAGTTCACAAATGGGAATCAGCTGGTTAGCACATTGCATAATCTTATATTACACATGGTCTGGGAATGGTATGTACAATGTGTTTCGGTGTATCCATTACTCACCAAAGTCTATGTCCAGCAAGGCAGCATTGGCACCTTCCACCAGAATCTTTTTTGAAGGCCCATGTAGCGCCTCATACATGAAGAAGACTCCATCTCTCACCATGGGCTTTATCCTGTCTACATACGTCTGAAAAAACAATGTCAGAAAGTGTGGTAACCCTTGTTGTCCATGTGTCACAATAGATGTTACTGTTATGAATACAGTAATTAATAAATGTATTTAAAAACGTTAACATTATATGATAACTGATATGTTGTGCATCTCTAACTCTTATCCAAGTCCTATAAAATCTTGTAAACCTAACCTACGGAATTAACTGGTGTGACATTCTCACCTTGAGTTTCTCAAGTTCCCCATCCACATCAATCTCCAGTGAAGGGTACATAGACTTATACTGCGAGGCCAAATGTGTGAGAGTAAAGACATTTCTAATGTCTTTACTAAAATAAAGAAATGCTGTTCTTTTGAGCTTTTTATTCATTAAAGAATCCTGAAAATCTGTATCAGTTTTAGAAAAATAATAAAGAGCACAACTTCATTATGAATACTGACAATAACATTTTCAACATGGATAATAATAAATGATTCTGTGAGACTCGTGAGTGATATTCACATGCATTATATAGACACTTTTTTTCCCCATGTTGGTTGCTTTAAAAGAGGGGTCTGCAACCCTTATTCAGGGCCCCCTAAGTGGATATAGACAGAGAAGTGAACCTGTTACATACGATATTGTATAAAATTAAGTGTAATTTTGTTTACATACACATTTTTATTCAACACTTTAAACTGATGAAAACTGAGAGTAAAGACATTTCTAATGTCTTTACTAAAATAAAGAAATGCTGTTCTTTTGAGCTTTTTATTCATTAAAGAATCCTGAAAATCTGTATCAGTTTTAGAAAAATAATAAAGAGCACAACTTCATTATGAATACTGACAATAACATTTTCAACATGGATAATAATAAATGATTCTTGAGCAGCAAATCAGCATATTAAAATTAATTAATTAATTAAATGTACTTAATTTATGCATTTAGCAGACGCTTTTATCCAAAGCGACTTACAGTGCATTCAGGCTATACATTTTTTACCAGTATGATATGATATGATATCTAAAAGATGATATCTAAAGGATCATGTGACACTGAAGACTGGAGTAAAGACTGCAGAAAATTCAGCTTTGCATCACAGGAAAAAATTACATTTATAATATATTGAAATAAAAAAATACTTATTTTAAACAGTAAAAAATATTTCACAAAATTACTGTTTTTACTGTATTTTTAATCAATTAAATGCAGCCTTGGTGAGCATAAGAGACTACTTTCAAAAACATTTTAAAAAAAATCTTACAGACCACAAACTTTTGAACAGTAGTGTACAACTAAAAGCCATTGAATGAATCATTATTGATGTACATAATCATTTATTTGTACACTACATTTTAATTTCACATAATGTTTTAATGTGAGAGGGACTATGAAATATTAATCTGAACTTCAGATTCTTAAATTTAATAACAGATTTAGCCAATATTACATTTAATATTTAATTTCTTTTATTTGTCATATATTGAATGTTATGTTATTAAGAGTATAAAATGTTTTCTTTTTGCAGATATACATATAAACTTCACATTTCACATAAAAGAACTTAGGACCGAAAGTCAATTACTAAGACCAACCTGAGCGGTTAGAAAAGCCACCAATACACATGACTAAAGTTCATCTCTCAAAGCATTTTTTCTTTTGTTATGAACTCATGTCATAACATGTTGCTAGCGTGTTGTATGCGTGTGCATAAAGCAAGGTTTTTACTTTTTGCCAGCTTGCTGTTGCCTCTCCTGTTCCTGGATTCCATCCACAGCTTGATGGAAATCAAACACTAGAGGCAGGAGAGTGTATACATTACAGTGAGACAACTCATCTCTCTGAGCTCTGAACCCAACATGCCACAGCAGGTCACCATAACAACACTTGGGTTGACTACAATTGATCCTGTGTCCTTTCATTATAACCACTCCTGAGAATCTAGAATTACAACAATAGTCTAAAAGCATAAGGCTGATGATACATTGGGCAACTTTTTGTGCAATGTTGCTGGGCAACTTTGGTTAATGTTGGCGTCAACGGGCAACCAGGTGAGACACAGGGCCCACGACCAATCTAAAATATCCAGACAGAAATCTGTTACCCATTCTCAGTGGAAAAGTGCCCAAGCATCACTGCTCAAAAAAAGTTGCCCGATAAAATTGCTCAAAAAGTTGTATCATCAGCCTAATAATTCAAACACAAACCATTATTAATTTTAAAGGACTCTTTGATTGTGACATTTGAGAGCAGTATCTGCCTACTTCAAATCCCAAAAGCTAAAAGCAAAGCATAACAAACACACACACAAAAACTGATGAGTAAAAATGTATTGATGCATCAAACAACATTTTAATAGATTAATTAAATATTATTATTGATATTAAGCTATTATGGCTAGCTAGATTTGCAGTTCCTGAAGGGAACAGCAGTGCTTGCAAGGCATAAAAAGAACAGTGTTAAAGATTTAGGTTCAGGATTTTATGAATATGGTGTCATAGGGAGGTTTTCAAAATTTGATCATAAATTTCATATTTAAAAAAACAGACATTACTGTGAGAAAAATTACGAGTATGTTAGAGGGGCATCAATAACGTGTCTTGCAAGAACTGTAATAATACTTACTGTATTATGTTTTTTTTTTAACCAAATAACAATTCTTGACCATTTTTGTTGTAAAAAATATCTCCAAATCCAGAACACCCAATGTACTTAATGTATATCAATGCATTCATTTGGCTTAAGTTACATACACAACACTACCATTCAAAAGGATGCATTAAACTGATCAAAAGTAAAGACATTTATGTTACAAAAGTTTTCTATTTCAAATAAATGTGGTTTGAACTTTATTTTCAAAGTATACTGAAAAAAAAACTGTATCAGTTTCCACAAAAATAGTAAGCAGCAGAAATTTTTTTTTTTCAACACTGATAAAAATATGTTTTTTGAGCAGCAAATCAACATAATATAATGATTTCTGAAGGATCATGTGACCCTGAAGACTGGACTAAAATGCAGACAATTCAGTTTTGCCATCATTGCAAATAAGTAATATTTCTAAATATATTAAAATAGAAAACGGTCATTTTAAATTGTAATAATATTTTACAATATTACTGTTTTTCCTTTATAACCATATAAAGCCACATTTTGCTGTGTTTGCAGCTGTGAATGTAATTTTGGGATATGATGGTGTTTATATGTCATGAGAGCCATCAGCCTACCGATGTGTGCACGGTCAGAGATGATGAGCCTGTTCTCCCAGCCTTCCAGACCTGCGAGCAAACTCACAGTTAGACATCTATGAATACTCACTAATAATAAATCATACAGCCCAAGGGCACAAAAACAGTTAAACAAACCTTTTCCTTTCCGCACATTCTTCTCAGCTTCCTCGAAGAGACCCGGCAGGTGAATGACTACACCATTACCTGCAATCAAATGAGGAGCTGTCAGTCATCACTGTCCAATTCACCCTGGCCTGAAGTGTTAAATAATGTAGTGTTGGAATATTACAGCAAGTTGTTTAGCCACAGACAAACTCATGCACTTTGTACAATCACAGAAACTTGTTTCTTGAGTCATGCTGTTATCGTTTTAGTTGTGACAATATCACAGATGGACAAGCAAGTTGTGTGCTTGTCCAGTCAACATTATTAACTTCATAAATATGCAAAAATCGCATTAACCAAAGTTTATAAATGTACAGTGAGAATTCTTTAAAAAAAAAAAAAATAGAGCAAGAGATAAAGAATTACCCATTTAGTCTGAAAAGCCCAGTTGTGTCATTCCAGGTTTTGGAATGAAAATAAATTTGGAATGATTTGTGTGAATAAAAATCACACATATCAACCCTTAAACCCTGCAACACAGATTTCTGAAACCTGTATAATCTAATGTACTATGAACATCAAGCACTTCCAATACATCATACTAATCTACAGTGCTGACATATGAATCAGAAGGCCAAACAGTAATGGCCATTAGCAAAATTGGATCTTTGCAAATAAACTGCATAGATTGCACTCAGCTATATTAGTCTGGATATGCTGGCCAACATCCAAACACTCCAACAGGAAGCTGTGGTGTTGTTTTCAAAGCAAGGACTGAGATCTATATGCTGAACTGGTTGCATGAGAATGTGCACAACTTTTTATCCGAATGGAGGGAGGAAATTTGATATATTACTCACCAATGAAGGCAGTGACCATAGGGTTAATAATTCCACTGGGTAGAAGGTGGAAGTCATATTCCACTGAATCAACCACGACTGTGTGTCCTGCATTGTTGCCTCCCTACAGGAGAGAAGAAACACAAAGACTTTTCAATCCTTGAGAAGAGGACATACAAATCTGGGATAGTTAGTTCACATCAAAAATTCTGTCATTATTTACAGTACTAACCCATGTCGTCCAAAATATTATGACTGACTGACTTCATGGAACATAAAAGTAAAATATGTTTTGAGAAATGCCTCAGTGTTTTTGTCCATACAATGGAAATCAATGCAATCCAATGTTGTTTGGGCCTCAAATATCATCTTTTCGTGTTCCACAGAAGAAAGCAAGTTTTTGGGTGAACTATCTCAACAATCCCAAGCATTACTATGGTATGGTATAGACGTGCTTAGACATGCAGTTGTGAAATGGAAAATTTGAAGCATGTAAACAACACTGATTTTGGTTGCTAGGTGTGGATTTAATGTGAGAATAGCTCTATTGCTCAATTAGACAAGATACATGTAGGAAACCAGACGGAATCCATTTCACATTTTCTGTATGAATTTTGTCTTGTATCCTTCAGAATAGAATTAAACATGGTAAAATGCATTAAGCAGAGCTAAAATTACTACATTCTTATTCGAGGCTTAAAGCACAATGAAATTAACATTGTAAATGAATGTGCAAAGGGTGAACATTCCACATTAGAGTTCTGCAGAGTTACATTTGTTTAATTTTCATTTTATTTGTCATTCCTTAAAGGCACAATATGTAATTTTCGCCGCTAGAGGGTGCATATTCGACACAACGATCCATCAGCATTAAAAATGTAGCTTAAAAAGGTACCAAACCAGTTCCATGAAATAGATTGATTAAATACTGTTTTCAGTGGTGAGATTATACTGTTGTCATGTTCTATCTGGTTTGGTTTTTGTTGGCTTCTCAGAATAAAGAGTGTGTGCACATTTGAGTACTTGAGTGAGAGTGAGAGTGTGCATTTATTAAAGCTGCAGTCTGTAACTTTTTTTGGTTAAAAATGTTCAAGTACATAACCAGCCAGTGTTCAAAACTATCGCCTTACCTTAACCCTATTCACAATGGTAAGCTTATAATAATGTTTTCTAATTTGAGTGGCACTGGTAGGAATTTGCGGGAAATTCGAGCGCTGCGTCATTATGTCAAGTCTGTAAACATAAAGAAGTTGTCCCGGCTAGTAGCTATCGCGTATGAGGATGCTGCAGGTGGCGGATCGTTAATAGCCTTTTCTCACAGCAGCTGGAATAATTAAACTTATCATTTTGATGGCGGATTGTAATCCAAAAAGTTTTATGCGTTTATGAAACACAAGTGATGGAGTTTTAAGTTTTAATACCAGTTTTAAATGTACATCTGATTAGATTGCCTATGTTCGATTACACAAATTTTGTATTTTAAAGAGAACCAGTACTAATGAAGAGTAATTTGCTTTTTAAGTTAAAAGAATTTCTTTATATGAAATTCGAATGGTATTAGAGATTAGACTGTACAGAAATTGAAATCTACATGTAATGCTTATACACACTACATACACGTAGTCACGCAATGCTGATGTTGTTAACATTAACAATTTGAGAACAAAGTATAATAGTAATTATATAAAGCACGGTTTGATGTGATATGAGCTAACCAATGGTTAGATTTAATCACCATTGGTAGTGCGATTTATTGTAATGCTTTTTTCCTCAGATTGTCAGAACAAAATGCCATACTTGTTACTTGTTCAGATAACAATATCCGTTGAAAATTCTTATTTGGGTCATACTTCCAAGACGTAGAATCTGTGATTCTGAAGTACAGTGAATATCCACACCGGTGCGGTGACTGCCAGCCACACATACTCCTCAAAACATTAGATTCATCCGCGCTGGAGCCGTGCCGGTGCACAACCCACGTTAAGAAAATAATTCCACAAATAACTGCAACTGCAGGTTTTAATCAAAGAGGCAAAACGTACAGACTGCAGCTTTAAATTTATAAGCCTGTCTCAAATTCACAAGAAAGGACAGATGGCACTCAAACCTCTCTAAGGTGATGAAAGAAACATTCCAAGTCAAAAAAAGGTTTTAGAAACTGCACTCACAAAGGGCAACTTCTAGGTAATGAACCAGTTTTAGAGCGGAGCATACTGTTAAAAAAAACGGATTACTTCCACTTATTCACTTATACTTTCTTATCCAAGTCTGTATTTCAAGCTTTAAAATTCCCTGACCTTTCTTTTTCTGCAGCAAAACAGTCCTTTAAAGATGCACTCCATTTTTCTTTATTTCTTTGTGTCATCATGGACTTTATGGACTTAAGTTTTCCTTCACCAATGTCTTTGCAGAAATTCATTATTCCCAGTCAGCCCCAATTCTTCAAAATTACTAATAATTTCTTTGTGTAAAACTTTTTAACTATAAAAAATACTGAGAAGAAAAACAGAAATTAATCAGCTGATAAAAAAAATGTAATCATACAACACTTCCTGTTATCAAATAAAGCATTTGAGACTTGAATGACACTGGGTTTAAAAATGGCACCTTAATAAGTTGATTTTAAGGTTTTAGTATTTGTATTTAAATCACTTCATGGTCTTGCCCCTGCTTATATTTCAGATCTTCTCCATTCCTACTCTTCTGAGAGAACACTTAGATCTTCCACCCAGATGTTATTAAATGTTCCAAAATCTTTACTTAAATCCAAAAGTGACAGGGCTTTCTCAGTTTTTGGTCCAAAGCTCTGGAATTCCCTACCATTGTCTATTAGACTATCCCCTACTCTATCCACATTTAAATCTTCTCTTAAAACATTTTTTTTTTTCTCAGGCATATGCTTAATTTGATAATATTTTAGCTTTAATTTTGTTTTATTTTGCATGGTAATGTTTTGTTTTGTTTTAACTTTATTAATTTTTGTTCTGTTTTCTTTTGATTTATTTTATTAGTATTTAAATTGTATTGTATGAGGATGTTTTTGTCTCGTATGCTGTGCAGCACTTTGGTCAGCATTTATGTTGTTTTAAAGGGCTATATAAATAAACTTGACCTTGACCTTAATTATCAGTAAGCAACATACTTAGACTCACTGATAAACAAACAGCTGCACATTACACAGTTAACATGTCCACTGCAACACTGCAGTCAAGGGATTTCCACAGACTCAATTATCAAGCTGACATTAATGGTCAAGATATTTTAAGTCATTTAAGTTCAAATATTTTAGTAGTAGATATATTCTTTGAAGCAAACTGTGTCAATTGCAAAGTCAATATAGCAAATCTATATGATTACAGAACTTATCTGTAAGAGCAACAGATGGCCTTTCATTCTCGTCAGACTTGGTGTTACAGTGGCAGACCAAGAAAGAAATGTAATACCAAAAGTATAACTTGACTAAAGGATGCTCATATACACTCCTCTATATGGTTATAAAGCTCACAAAAATCTCAGTACGTTCCTGTATAACAGGTTAGACTGAAGATAGCGTCTGGTTATCATCATAGATCTGGAGACGCAGGTTTTCCCACATGCCTGGAAAACCATAAACAATAAGCACATGATTAATATAAGCCTACAATACTACAATGTGAAACAAACCAATTTGTTAACAGACATAACAGATTTATAGGCAGACATGAGAAGAGGCAATATAAAAAGAGGTTAATCTGCAAATAAAATGTTAAGGGCATTATTATAAGAGGTCATGCGTTGTGTTTGATCCTCTGGTTTCTGGACCGACATATTAATTTGGTGTGACATGGAACAGCATGATGGTCTTTTTTCCATTCCATCTGCCTGTAACGAAAACCAGTCAGACTGCTGAGTGCTCTGTTTTTATAAAAAGACCAACACTATCTGCTTTCTGTCCCATCCATTTGCACAGCACACACGACGGTTTGCATAGTGCAGCACCGAGTGTCTTGTTTAATGCAGTCACAACCTTGGCAGAATACAAACTTCTTAGGAGAGAATCCTTGCAATGTGAACCTGTTATCAATACCATGCATAGTGACAGGGGGCGTAAAGCGGCCTGCTATCACTGCTCTCTAGCATAACACAACCACTGGTGTGGTGCCATTTCCCCATTTGTCCATAAAAGTGTTCTCTTGACAAATTATGCTAAACATCTAAACATTATGCTATATAATTATGTATGTGTAAACATAGAAGCATTTAACCCTACTTAGGGAATCTAAAAAGAAAAACATGGCATACACACACACACACACATATACGTATACAGTACATACATACATACATATTTCATGATTTTTGTTATACATATATATCATATATCTAACAGTTTTGCAGTACATGTTAAGTGAGAGCACAGCAGCGTTTGAAAGCTTTGAGGCTGAAATAGTGACACCTGTTTCTTTCTGATGGACAGTGTGAGATGTTGACACATGGAGCCATATGCTACATAAACCTTTCTTTAGTACTCTGAACAACTGCTTAACAATATATGTGTATTTTGTAACAAATATTTATGATATATATATATATATATATATATATATATATAGACACACACACACGGCCTGGGGCATTTTACATAATAAAACAATTTAGGACTATAAACTTTTAACACAGTTACCATACATTTTCATCAATAAATGATGAACATTTTTATTTTTTTTGCAATTACTTTGCAAATACTCCAGAAAGAGCTATTTCTAGCCAATTAAATATTTTAGACAATATTAGAAAACTCACATTAACAGTAGTATATGTATGTACTATATGTGTGTACACAGTAACAAAAGTATATGTGTGTGTGTTTAGTCTATAAAAAACATTCTAGCAATTGGCTAAAAAATGTAGCTATTTTTAAAGCAAAGTTGTAGGACATCATGTCTGAAGAATCAGCGAGCTGCAGGATTGTGTACATTTATAACACATGGGCACATGAGACAACTGTGGAAAATCAAGTAGCTGGAGGTTAATGTTCTGTAAAATCAACTATTATTTTAATTATTAACACTTGCAACATCTGCTTTGAATGTAATACTCAAATAAATACCACACCTTCGGGCGTCATAGACTTCAAAGGAGTCCTGCGCCTGTGTTTACATCCTTTGCAAAACACCCCGGATATTCCAACATTAACTGATGTGCTAAATGCCAGATGTCATTTAAAGGGGTCATATGATGCGATTTCAAGTTTTCCTTTCTCTTTGGAGTGTTACAAGCTGATTGTGCATAGATAAGATCCCTGAAGTTGCAAAGACTAAAGTCTCAAAACCAAAGAGATATTCTTTATCAAAGTTAAGACTCTGCCACGCCCCCCTAAAACGGCTCATTCTAACACGCCCCCACATATCTACCCCACTATGTGGAAATATTTGCATAATCCCGCCGCAAATGTGCACGCAAAGAAAGAAGGCATGGTGTCAGTAACCGCAGTTAGTGTTGAAGCAGCCATGTCAAGGAGACGCTGTGTGTTTCTAGGCGAAAGCAAAAGCACTCATATGACCCCTTTAAGATTGCAAGGCTAACGTACACTGCGCTGGCCTACGCTCAGAAATCACGCTGGCTTTAATATCACATAATTCAGTCAAGGTGACATTTGCAAACACCCTAACGTTACATGGTACACTGCTAGCGAAGCTAAACAAGTAGGCTGCATTATGATCGACGTCGCTCGCGTGCAGGCAGCGTAGTTGATAATAATGGAAGCGCGTAGATGCGAGCTATAATGTCCATTTCCGCTTTGATAATACAGCAGCTAACTGCTTACTAAGAAATGGCCTGCAAACAAGTCCTGTAATCACATACTGCAAGAGCTTTCACAGCACTTAACATGCATTCAGTACTCCACATGCTACTCTCTGATCAGCCATGAATATTTCCGTACAAACAAGCTTGTTGATGATGTACACAGCGTATCACAACTAACGTTACACAGCACACCGGGGATATATTCAAATATTCAAACACTACAGTTCACATAAACCAACCTGACATCTGCAGACCATGTCAGCGTCCTGGGCCAGCAGGTCCACCACCTTTCCTTTCCCTTCATCGCCCCACTGTGCTCCGAGCACCACGGTCACTTTGTTGCCCACACTCGAGCATGTCACCCGGCTCGATCCTCCGTCCCGCGACTGTGCGTTCCCGCTGTCTGACATGACCGTCTCCCCTCTGCTCTCCCTGCAGCTCCGCAATGCTCCTCCGACACACGCTCACCTGAGCAGACACCGAGGGCGGAGCCTCCTCACTCACTCACTCACTCTCACTCACACACACACACACACACACACACACCACTCCATATAACTTACAGCGCTTCACTCACATACACACAGTAGTCATTAAAGTACCCTGTGCTTTAAAAATATATTTTTATATAAATAGAACTGTTTTACCTCATATTACAAGCAACATATAGGCCTCTGTACAACATTTCCCAACTGTATTTATTTATTTATTTATTTATAATTTGTTTGTTTGTTTAAACGTAAACTTCCAACCGTCGACTGTGCAGTTATTGTTATTGTGCAATAGGAAACAGCGACGCCCGAAGCCTAAAGCGAGTATTACAGCTAATCGCTTTGGTTCCCCCTTAGCTTTTGCAACCTTTTTAGTTACACCAAATAACGGGAAAACCACAGTGGAACAAGATGTTGGGATTTGGGGTATTGTTAACATACATTTTATTTTTATATTTTCAAACTGTCGTCGGAATTTGGAGGTAAATTATTAACCAACTAAACTCCATTGATCTTTGGGCACTTTTAGTGTCACAAAGCTAAGCTATTGATATGTAAATTATTTGTGATTGCTGTTACTGTTTGTTTATTATCAGATACAAGCAGATTTTGGAGGATAAAGAGTTATTCATCGTAGACAGTACTGTAAGTGAACATAATCTTTTACAAAAATCACTATTGTAACCACTACCACAAAAAAATACCACAGTTGAAATACAGTGTCTTCAATTGCTTTAGACCGCTTTCGCCTTACAATCATCCTCGTCGATTTATTTCTGATGTTTTGTTTAATTTCTGTAACTATATTTTGGTGGTTGCTATTGTAAGTAAGGGATGATCTTGTTCATTGTGATTTTAAGGTTAGTCATCTGACGCCTAAGTGAAGTGCTTTCTCACCACCAATATAAAAACATAAATAGGCTTTTATCCAAATACGAGCATGTAGTTTTATTTACATAATAAACCACAAATATTATGTTTCATGCAGATTTTTTTAGAGTACGAAGGATCCTCTTTTTTGGAGTGGCAATATCCTGATGGTTGTGATGTGAATAATAAGAGGTAATCCACATATTTACTTAATAAGTATGATAATTTTCTAATGTATAGCTTTATTAATATGTATTTATGTCTAATCGATTAAATTTAAATTTATTTCTTTGACAAATTGATCCAATAAGGTCACCTCATGCTGTTATGTGGTGTAAATCCCCTGGATTTCAAGCTGTAAAGCCACTTGTTTCTGTAAGTACACACAAATATATCATGAGGTTTCACATATTCTTTTCATCAATTAGCATTTTCAAATATTTCATAATTTCATTGCAGGATGTGTCTACAGAAAAAGAAGAAGAGCGACACCTTTATATAAGTGACTCATTTTTCAGGCTTGCGTGGTATGCTGTTATTCCTTTGCTCAGGTTTTAACCAGCTCAACTTCTTTCAGCTTTTATTGCACTACAAAATGTCAAGAATTGCTTAAGTGAGGAAATACTTTGAATAGAAATATATATGCAAGTTTTTTTCCCCCCCATGTCCATCAGAAATTCACCTGAACATGACCCCCAGGTGAGAATTTTACTCTATAATCAGAAACCTTTGATAGATGTGAACCTGCGTCACATGCAGGTTGAATTGTTCACTTGTATAAGACCATGTGGTTTATAATGCTTTTTGGTGTGTACTGTAGACTGTCAAAATATGGATCATTGATCCGGACCGAGCAGATGAGGCTGTAATCAAAAACACAGCAATGATTCCCTCTGTAGTAAGTCTTCTTCTTAAAAATCCTATGTAAAATGTTGGTTGTGTATTGATTATTGTAAGTGCCTGAGAATAAATCTCTGTACCTTTCCAGTATTTCAGATATCTTACTAAGTGTTCATTAATCGGTGGAGAGTTTGCAGTCATCGAGTTGTCTTCATTCCCTCAGACTAGCCAGAGTTATTTTACAAATCAGGGGTAATGCGGTTCACTTCTATTCAAAGTCAGGCTTTTTCCACGTTTTCTCACTTTTTAAATATATTTATTGATGTTCAATAAATATATTTACAATAATGATCTGTATAGCAACCTTTCACAATCATGATTTATTTCAGGTTTTGGGAGGCTCGCCTTCTTGGTGTCAATGAATATCATCATTTTCACATAACCAGTCAGTCAGTATCTTTTCATGGAAAATCTGTTGCTTCTAGTCAACATGTCTTCTACAGGACATCCCCAGAGAAACCATATGGCGACAAAAATGTGTCCTTATGCCTGCCAACTGGTAGTCGAATGTCGATAGTATGGGATGCATGTACCCCTCACCGAGCCTTGCTCCTGTCTGACAAAGGCACATTCATAACTAAGAATGCTTTCCTCACTTATGAGGAGATAAAGGTTGATCCTGGAGAATTGCTAATGCCAGCTGAGGGTTATTACGTTGTTTTTGATGCCGTCTTGTTGGAGAATGGCTTGATTTTCCGCATAGGAGATGCTCTTTTCTGGAGGGACAATGAGGAAGGAATATTGAGGAGAAATCCTATGAAACTGCTAGGTGAAGGGGTTAAAGGCCTGAGTTTTAGGACTCAATGTGCAGATTACTACCCCTTGCTAGTGAGTGTCTCCCATTTGTAAATATCTATTATTTTTTCTTAATATTAGGTTACAAAAATGTTGATTTGTCTCTTGAATTTCACTTGCAGGGGTCTGAACTTGCCACAGTTCTTGCATGGACAGACCATGAGCTTTATAAAGGTGGGAAAGCTCTGGATTGGAAGACTAATAGCAGCTACATGTCAAACATACTGAGTCTTCCCCAAACTACTACTATCCTTACTGCTGCATTTGGATCCCATCTAGCATCTTTGGGTGCACTGGTGATGGACACAGACTCTGTACAACCCTCCCTGCTCACATGCTATGAGACTGAAGGCATCTGGAAAACCAGAACTTTACAGAGTACAAATGGTCTCCAAGGGCCATTTCAGATGCTCTTCGTCAGCGCAGCCTTGGAAACTCTGCTGGTGTGGAACAAAGACACTATGCTTTATAGTTTTCACAATGATAGTGAATGGCGTTACCTGCGAATAATGGATTCCTCCAACATAAGCCAAGAAGCAAGTGGTAGCCACATTCACCACGTGGTCATGGGTGAGTGGAAGAAATCAGATTATCAGAAGTGCCAGCAGTTGTATTTCCTTCAAAATACATTTGAAATTCAAATAAGCTTGATTTGTATCTCTAATAAGAGTTTGATTTAAGATTAAAGCTAGTTTACATAAAATAAAATGATCTCATGTTCCACCCTTTGTGACTTTGCTCTACAGACCGCTCACGGAACATGCTGGTAAAGATGGAGAACAACGTGCTGTTCTTCTGTAAATTCGGCATGAATAAACTGTTTCGGCTGCCCACCTGGAATGACCCTGGACGTTCTGTAGTGCTCTACATAAACCAGAAAGAGCAGATCATTATGCTGACAATGTTAGATGGAGGTTTGCATGTACAGAAGTACCCTTTAAAGATGGAGATCAGGAGTGCCATGCGAGGGGAGGTCCACAGCTGTCCCTTTATTGGCTTCACACACAACATGAACAAGCCTGTCTACTACATCGACAAGGAAGAGGTCATTGAGTTTTGGGCCCAGGTAAGTTAGAGTAGACCTACGTATGTATGTACCCTGATATATGTAGCTCATACATCACAAGAGAAGTTACCAAATGTGCTATGCCATGGTAGAACCAATTGGGGTTCCCCAAAGAAGTGAGCAGTTCATGAAAGAAACACTTTTTTTGTGTGAAGAACACACTCCGAACATAATCTGAAGAACCTTTTCCACTACAATGAACCTTCTGTGCGATGGAACGGTTTAATGGATGTTAAAGGTTCTTTGTGGAGCCATAGATGCCAACCAAATATTTTCATACTTGTGTATTTCCAGATAGTCTACCATGAAGGTAAAAACATTAATGTGACGCTAAGCAGGAACAAAGACCATGTGTTGCAGATCACAGAAAGGACCCATTTTGAGAGTGTGCGCTATCTGGATACAACAAACAAGGTCTGGACAAGAAGGGTCTTTTAGAAAAGCCAGTCTTCATTGAGCTGTTTAAATGCTATTTAGATAGTCAGTTGTTTGTGATGCTTATATAAGCAAAGTTTTTTTTTTTTTAATGCCTGTCTCTTTTCTTTTTCCAGACGTTTACCATTTATCAGGATGCAGACTACAGAGACATGACTAACAACTCTGATCTCATGTGAGTGTTTTTTTTAATGGCACATCAATGAACGATTCTTGTACGGATAAATTTAACCATATTAGTTAAGACAACTAGTTCTTCCAGCTATTATAACAACCATCTTGTCCTAGAATTAAAAACAGCCGAAACTCAAGTGATATAGTCACTATGGAGCTGCTACCAACCCAGATTGATAATTCATGCAATCTGCCAAAAAATCAGGTAAGTTTTTTGGCTGCTGGGGGGTTACTGAAGATTTTCCTTTTTCTTATTTGTAGAAAAACATTTCCTGATAAGAAAGCAACTGTATATAGATACTATACCACTAAATAAGGCATACATTGTTTGTAGATTTCCCATTTATTTGTGGGCTGCCCACCAAACAGACACATTCGTGTTATAAAGTAAGTGTCATCTGATTATCTAACAATATTGTTTAGAATGTTATCCTACAACCATCTACTGTAGCAGTTTAAACCTTTTGACCAGACTTATCGTGTTGTTCCTTGTAGACCACAGAGAATTCCATGTAAGATGCACATTTTTGACAGCTATACCATTCCAGGGTAATATTCACTAAAACATGACACTTAATAATAGAATACATTGAATTTGATTTAGTCCTGCTTTATAATTTTCCCAATTTATCTTTTACAGATTTGTACTTGGTAATTCATCAAAGGATCTGGTGAGAATCCGTCCTGTGTATTTGTTGATAATGATGCTGTCATTTAATCAGCATCACTGAGATAAGTATGAGAAGCACAGTGTTGTTTTTGTCATTGAGTCA